TACTGTTTCCACGGCATCTGCAATCACCAGGACAGTCGTAGCCCATTTCGTAACGAATTTGCAGGAACTGAAGTTACAGCAAAGACATCATGTAACCTTTCAGCGAAAGTTTTAAGTAATCGCAGTAATGTCATTCTTTATTGTATACATGTCTCTGGATTTATGAAGAAAGGGTTGACACAAAAAAAGATTTGAATGGGGTTAACATACAGCGTTTACATAATTAGACCGTCTATATCATCCAGAAACCCGGTGACATTTCAACCTTTTTACACAAGCTCAAACAAAAGTTCTTAATTTGTCTTGAATGATAGGAAACCTTGGGTGGACTGAGGCAATGTCCATCATGAGCAGTCTTCCTTTCATGCCTTAATTTTGAAACATTAGAACTAAAGCATTTACCACAGTCAGCTTTAGGGCAGTAAAAGGGCCCGTGGTGAGAAGTGGCTAGATGTGCCTTCATGTTGTATTTCTTTCTTAACTTCTTGTTGCAGTCAGGAAATGGGCAATGATAATANGAGGGGGAGTAAAACTCAGTAGGCAAGATAACACAGTACTGTTTCCACGGCATCTGCAATCACCAGGACAGTCGTAGCCCATTTCGTAACGAATTTGCAGGAACTGAAGTTACAGCAAAGACATCATGTAACCTTTCAGCGAAAGTTTTAAGTAATCGCAGTAATGTCATTCTTTATTGTATACATGTCTCTGGATTTATGAAGAAAGGGTTGACACAAAAAAAGATTTGAATGGGGTTAACATACAGCGTTTACATAATTAGACCGTCTATATCATCCAGGAACCCGGTGACATTTCAATCTTTTTACACAAGCTCAAACAAAAGTTCTTAATTTGTCTTGAATGGTAGGAAACCTTGGGTGGGCTGAGGCAATGTCCATCATGAACAGTCTTCCTTTCGTGCCTTAATTTTGAAACTTTAGAACTAAAGCATTTACCACAGTCAGCTTTAGGGCAGTAAAAGGGCCCGTGGTGAGAAATGGCCAGATGTGCCTTCATGTTGTATTTCTTTCTTAACTTCTTGTTGTAGTCAGGAAATGGGCAATGATAATAATTGAAATTGTCGGTTCCGAAGAGCACGGATGTCATTTCACAGCCACTCCAGTCACGAACTATTACAAGCTCAATTTTAGCAATCGGTTCCTTAACGTTGTCACTGAACTTGACAGCTTCAAATAAGTGCTTTGAGCAATGCACGTCTTGACGCAGAAAATGCGTCGTCAGTTTAAATGATTTAGAACCCAAAGAATATAAACTTTCCATAAAAGGAACACATGGAGCAGGACCCATAACTATCACGTGTAGGTCGGAAGAGCTTTCGTCTTCCATATCTTCAGGATCGCTTTCCAACACGAGTTCGTAATTAAAACTGCTTCTTTGTAAGGAAACCTTCGTGGAAGCACTAATGACTTCACAGCAAGGAGAGAGGGCAGCATAACCAATGTCAATTAGCGGGAAAACAGTTTCTTCTTCTGTTTCACTTTCCGAAACGATAACTTCGCTCCTATCTTCCATCTAGAACGGTTACCGTAATATACCAAGTATCCACTGTCGCCACCTATTATTTCACATGATTTAAAACCGGCGGAATATTCCGCTCATAAACCAATGCCAAAATGCCACATGCAAAACGTGACGTCATCTTGCAATGTTATCAAAATGTAAGGTACCATATTTTTTCTCACCTTACATACATTGTATTATTTTATGCTACTGGTTTGTGAAAACGTGGGACAATTCCGTTATAACATAACAGGAAATAGTTTTTGCACAGCTAAAAATTATACTGTTAATTGTTATCGGTAAGACTTGTTTGCAATATGATATCACGATGCGAAAATAAAATAGTACATCTCATTACATTAGCGTTGCGTGACCTTTGTTGGGACTGCGCGTTGTTGCTGTGCGCAACTCCCCGGCGAAACTTTGCCTGCTTCCAGAATTTAGTTTAAGTTGGGAAACAGACTTTCGTATTTCAAGACAAAAATAGAATTTCAATCGGCACAACGCTTCGTGTAGCACTCATTTTTGAATGAGTGTATTACTGGATCTTGGAATATTGACTGCCATGCGACGAAGGCGCCAAATGAACACGAGGGCGGGAAAAGTACGATAAACATTGCCGGAAAATAATGAAGGAAAAACGCTACAGAAAAGTTACTGGCAAAATCGGAGGAGAAAAACAATGTTAGTGCATCAATCAGCTTGTCACAACACATAAGATGAAGTTAGCGAGAGAGATTTGATGGTCTTGGAGACCTTGCAG